TCACCCTCCAATGGCCGCCGCGGCCAGCGCGCTGCGGCCGGCGCCCTGCGCTGATCCGATGGCAGGAGCCAGGATCCAGGTGCTTTTCCTGGTCTCCCATGGGGTGCAGGGCCCAAGCACCTGGGCCATCCTCCACTGCACTCCCTGGCCACAGCAGAGGGCTGGCCTGGAAGAAGGGCAACCGGGACAGAATCCGGCGCCCCGACCGGGACTAGAACCCGGTGTGCCGGCGCCGCAAGGCGGAGGATTAGCCTAGTGAGCCGCGGCGCCGGCCCCCTTCCTTCCTTTTTTTTTAAATATTTTTTTTTTATTTGAAAGTCAGAGTGACAGAGGAGAAAGAGAAAAAGAGATCTTCCATTTGCTGGTTCATTCTCCAAGTGACCACAACAGCTGGGCCTGGCCAGACCAAAGGCAGGAACGTGAAACTCCATCCAGGTCTCCCACATGGGTGTAGGGGCCCAGGCACTTGGGCCATCTTCTGTTTTTTCAGGCACATTAGCAGGGAGCGGGATCAGAAGTGGAGCAACCAGGACTCAAACCAGCACCCATATGGGATGCTGGTGTCACACGCAGTGGCTTAACACACTGCACCACAATGCTGATGTCTGTTTCTGTCTCTCTCTTTTTTGTCTGTAAAATGACACTGAAAGACTGAAATGCCATTCCAGTGCTAGTTTCTTGACAGGTACACACTACAGAGAAGCTCTCAGCTACAGTTTCCAGGCTGGTAGCCACCAATGTCTGTGGCACCAGGCAAATACTTTAGAACATGCTATAAAGGTAAAATACACATCAGCTTTCAGAGCCTTATTAGTACAAACAATGGTAAAACATCTCACTAATAATTCTAATGTTGTATCTGCTGAAATACTATTTTGGATACATTTGGTTAAATAAAATATTCAAATTTATATCTTTTTAAAAACTTTTTTTAAAGATTTATTTATTTATTTATTTGAAAGGCAGAGTTACAGAGAGGCAGAGCAGAGGGAGAGAGAGAGGTCTTCCATCCACTGATTGACTCCCAAGTGGCTGCAATGGCTGGAGCTGCGCCAGTCAAAAGCCAGGAGCCAGAAGCTTCTTCCGGGTCTCCCACGTGGATGCAGGGGCCCAATGATTTGGACCATCTTCTACTGCTTCCCCAGGCCATAGCAGAGACCTGGATTGGAAGTGGAGCAGCTGGGACTTGAACCAGTGCCCATATGGCACTCAGGCGTTGGCTTTACCTGCTACACCACGGTGCCGGCCCCCTTGAAAACTTAGAAATGTAATGACTAGAAATTTTTTTTAAAGATTTATTGATTTCGCAGGCAGAGTGATGCGAGAGGGTGTGGGAAGAGAAATCTTCCATCTCCTAATTTAATCCTTATATAGCTACAATGCCCAGAGGCTGGACCAGGCTACAGCCAAGAGCCAGGAGTTTCATCTTTGTCTACCACATGATTGACAGAGGCCCAAACATTTGGGCCATCACTTGCAGTTTTCCCAGGCACTTTAGCATGGAGCTGGATTGAGGGAGCAGCTGGGACTTGAACTGGCACTCTGATATATGGTATGCGGGCATCACAGATGATGGCTTAACATGCTGTGTCATAATGAATCTTAAATTACATATGTAATTTGCATTATATTTCAGTTGGGCAGCAATGGTCTAAAAATCCCCAGGAGTAAATATTTTTTAAAGTTTTCTCTGCTTTGGAACATCAGGATACAAACTATTCTTTCCTCTTTATGGTGAGGGAATTTTTTTTAAGAAATTTATTCATTTTATTTATATAAAAGGCATGGGGACAAAGATCTCACATCCACTAGCTCACTTACCAAATACCCACCAGGAGCCTGGGCAGTGCCAGGCTGAAACTGGGAGCCAGAAACTCAACACAAGCCTAACATGTGGGTGGCAGGGACCTAATTATTTTCACCATCACCTGCATGCATTAGCAGGAAGCTGGATCTGAGAGCAGAAATGGGACATGAACCCTGTCATTTTCTTAACTAGTATGCCAAACACCCATTGTGCTCTCCTTTTTAAATTAGTTTTTAAGTTTATATTTAATTGACACATAAAAGTTAGAGGTATTTGTGGAGTATCATATGCTGTTTTGACACATGCATTCATTGAGTAATGGCCAAATCAGGTAAGCATCTATCTTCTGAAACACTTCTTTTATGGTCTCTTAATGTTCTTTCATTTGATGACCTCAGGAAGAAAACCCCCACTAAGTGCTAATTATCTTCTCATTTTATACCTACAACTCACCTTAGAGAAGTGACATCTAGTTAAAGTAGTGTGATTGAGGGAAGGAATTAGGCACAAGAAGCAGAAGATTGGTGGTTATTGCAGACTTGTTAGAATTGTGGTATGCATTAGAAACTTTTTTTTTTTTAATTTTATTTTATTTTTGACAGGCAGAGTGGACAGTGAGAGAGAGAGACAGAGAGAGAAAGGTCTTCCTTTGCCGTTGGTTCACCCTCCAATGGCCGCCGCTGCAGCCGGCGCACCGCGCTGATCCGATGGCAGGAGCCAGGATCCAGGTGCTTTTCCTGGTCTCCCATGGGGTGCAGGGCCCAAGCACCTGGGCCATCCTCCACTGCACTCCCTGGCCATAGCAGAGAGCTGGCCTGGAAGAGGGGCAACCGGGACAGAATCCGGCGCCCCGACCGGGACTAGAACCCGGTGTGCCGGCGCCGCAAGGTGGAGGATTAGCCTATTGAGCCACGGCGCCGGCTATGCATTAGAAACTTTTTAAAAGAGATTTATTTATTATTTGAAAGTCAGAATTACACAGAGAGAAGGAGAGGCAGAGAGAGAAAGAGGCGCCGTGGCTCAATAGGCTAATCCTCCGCCTTGCGGCGCCAGCACACCAGGTTCTAGTCCTGGTTGGGACGCCGGATTGCCCCTCTTCCAGGCCAGCTCTCTGCTGTGGCCCGGGAAGGCAGAGGAGGATGGCCCAAGTGCTTGGGCCCTGCACCCCATGGGAGACCAGGAGAAGCACCTGGCTCCTGCCTTCGGATCAGCGCGGTGCACAGGCCGCAGCGTGCCAGCCGTGGCGGCCATTGGAGGGTGAACCAACAGCAAAAGGAAGACCTTTCTCTCTGTCTCTCTCTCACACTATCCACTCTGCCTGTCAAAAAAAAAAAAAAAAAAAAAGAGGTCTTCCATCCACTGGTGCACTCCCCAGTTGGCTGCAACAGCTAGAGCTGCGCCAATCCAAAGCCAGGAGCCAGGAGTTTCTTCTAGGGCTTCCACCTTGGTGCAGGGGCCCAAGGACTTAGGCCATCCTCTACTGCTTTCCCAGACCATAGCAGAGAGCTGGATCAGAAGTAGAGCAGCTGGGTCTCAAACTGGCGCCCATATGGGATGCCAGCACTGCAGGTGGTGGCTTTACCCACTGCACCACAGTGCCGGCCCCAGCATTTGAAACTCTTGAGCTGAAAAGTCTGGAGTTAAAACTCTGACGAAGGGGAAGTAAAATAGACACTCTTTAAAACAGAATTGTGGGCCGGCGCCGTGGCTCAATAGGCTAATCCTCCGCCTTGCGGCGCCGGCACACCGGGTTTTAGTCCCAGTTAGGGCGCCAGATTATGTCCCGGTTGCCCCTCTTCCAGGCCAGCTCTCTGCTATGGCCCAGGAGTGCAGTGGAGGATGGCCCAAGTGCTTGGGCCCTGCACCCGCATGGGAGACCAGGAAAAGCACCTGGCTCCTGACTTCGGATCAGCGCGATGCGCCGGCCGCCCTGCGCTGGCCACGGTGGCCATTGGAGGGTGAACCAACGGCAAAAGGAAGACCTTTCTCTCTGTCTCTCTCTCTCTCACTGTTCACTCTGCCTGCCAAAAAAAAAAAAAAAAAAAAAAAAGAAACCAGAATTGTGGGAGTAGGCATTTAGCCTAGTGATTAAGACATCTGCTGGGTTTGATTCCCAGCTGCAAGTCAGATTTGATTGCTGACTCTAGCTTCCTGCTATTGCATTCCCTGGGAGTCAGCAGTGATAACCCAAGCAAGAGGCCACTTGCTGGCCAAGTGGGAGAACTGGATTGATTTCCCAACTTTGATCTTGCCCAGCTCTGGCTGTTGTAGGCATTTGGAGAGTGAACTGGTAGATGGGTGTGTGTGTGCATGCACATACCCTTTTTCTCTCCCTGCCTCTGAATGTTTTTTTTTTAAACTCAGGAATGTGCCTCTCTAATAGGGAGTTTTACTTTCCTCTTATTTACTTATCCAAATTTACTGAGGACTTTTATGTGCCAAACACTTTGCTTCCACAAAGGAAACAAATGAACACAGCCCAGACGCTGCCCCCAAGGAGCTTATATTCAGGTAGAGAGTGAATCAGGCCTCATATTCTAGATAAGCACTGCAGTGATATCAAGAAAGTCCTTTTGAAGCCCTAGAAATTCATGACAGATTCTGCCTGGAAAGGAGACGGGAGGCTTCTCTTGTCTTAGATGTGGTATTATCAGGCCAAAAGGGAGGCAGGAATGAAGTTCTAGCCTGTGGGGGACAAAATGACTTAAAGGCATGGGGAGTGGGAGGAGACAATTCTAGAATTGGTGGTTTGGGCCTCTTTATGGGAAATTCAATAGTCTAGCTGAGTACTTTGGATCCTAGCCTGTGTGCAGGAGACTATTAGAGAATTTTAAGGCATTTTCCAGACCACACCTTAGAGACAGCAATTGGTCCTCCTGGAAGGATTGGGTGAGGAGTCACTGGCTACAGGGAGGCTTGCAAAGAGATAGTTGCAGTTTGCAGGCAAGAGATAGCAAGGGCTAGAATGGAAAGGAAAGAATATATCCAAGAGACAGTCAAATAGGGCTTGGAAGCGAGGAGTTGAGCATGGTCCTGGGTTTCTGTCTTTGATCACTAGTGGAGTTGTTTTCGTCCAAGATTGGAAATGTAGGGGAGGACCAGGTTAAAATAGAAAACAAGAAGCATTTTGGATCCATGGATTGGGCTGCGGCTGGAGCTGGTTTGAGCTGAAGTGCTTGTATTTGTGTTTCAGATGGTGACCCTCTTTCAGATGTGGGTTGTCCCCCTCTATTTCACAGTGAAGCTGCATTGGTGGAGGTTCCTAGTGATCTGGAGCTTCTTCTCTGCTGTCACAGCCTTTGTCACCTTCCGAGCCACACGAAAACCTCTAGTACAGACAACGCCAAGGTGAGAGTTGAGGTAGTGGGAAGGGCCCAGGTTTCCTAAAGCTATGCTTCTGGAAAGCATTGGAGGAAGGTGGGTTTAGATGGAAAAAAGCTTGCAGTTTTTGCCTTCCACAATGTTTTTTTGTAGGGCCCCACTGAAACAAGCTGATTGGGAGACCAACCCCTCTATGCACTGACTAACAACCACCATGTATTTCCCTACAGCTCATTTTATGGTTTATATCAAGGTCTATTTATATGAAAAGCAAACACAATCAGTAAGCAAATTCTTGGTGATCACTGTGGTCTTATTTTAAATGGTATTTTTGGGGTAGGCACTGTGGTGCAGCAGGTTATGCTGCGGCCTGCAGTGCTGGTATCCTATATGGCTGCCGGTTCGAGATGGCTGCTCCACTTCTGTGCTAATGCACCTGGGAAAGTAGCAGAAGATGGCCAAGTGCTTGGGCCCCTGCACCCACATGGAAGACCTGGAAGAAGCTCCTGGCTACTGGCTTTGGCATGGCACAGTCCTGACTGTTGCAGCCATTTAGGGAATGAACCAGCAGATGGAAGACCTCTCTCTGTCTCTCTCTCTCTCTCTCTGTCTCTTCTGTTTCTTTCTTTCTAACTCTACCTTTCAAATAAATAAATAAATCTTAAAAAATTTAAATGTTATTTTCTTCTGTGAACACTTCTCTGATCTCTGAATTATATTTTCCATTATATTTCTCATAATACCCTATAGTTTTCCTTCACAGAATTTATTGCAACTTATAACTAAATATTACTTTGAGTATCTATCTCCCCCACTAAACTTTGACCTTGAGATCAGGAACCACACCTATTTTGTCTGTCACTGGATATCTAGGACTTGCCACAGGGCCTGATACTTAGGAACCTACTTTATCAGTTTTTGTTGAGTGAATGAATCTCAACAAATTTACAATTTACGAACAAACAGTGCTTCTTTCTTGGGTTACAAAATAGCCACTGCCTGTATAGCCAAATAAATTTCTTTTTTGATCCTCCCAAGCAGCTTGTGAGGTTATTTTCTATACGTTCTTGACCCAATGAAAAAAGAGAGATTTTCTTATTCATTTAATACATACCTGCTATGTGCCAGGCCCTGTGCTGAGTGCTGGGGATACAGAGCCAGATAAGACATGATCCCTGCCCTCAAGGAGTGCTTGGTTTAATGGAGATGAACAAGAAAGCACCTGTTGTGGTGCATTTGGTAAGTGCTACAAGAAAGGTGTGCGAAGGTGCAGGAGCGCCTGACAAGAACTGGTCGGCCTGAACTTTGTATCCAGCTGGTCTAGAGTCTTTCAAATTGTAAATTGCTGTTCCTCTCACATCTCTATGTCTACTTCATTGCACTCCTTCCTCTGGCCTCTGATTTGTACAGTTGGTGATCCGGAAGCTGTGCTTTTGCTTTGGTAGTTGACTTCCAGGGCCATTATAGAAGATAACTGGCTCTGCAGGCAGGTGGATGTGGACTGGAACTCCATGCCCTGCCACTTGTTAGCTCTGTGACCTGATTTCTGTGAGCCTAGTGCAAGACAGCGTGAAGAGTCAGCAAGTAACAGTATCAGCACCTAACTAAAATGACTGAAAGTGTGTCAGTAATATGGCAGGATTTTTCTAAGAATAAACATTTGATAGTGTTTTACAGTTTTAAACATCCTTATTATTTTTTTTTTTTTTTGACAGGCAGAGTGGACAGTGAGAGAGACAGAGAGAAAGGTCTTCCTTTTTTTTATTTTTTATTTTTTTTTATTTATTTATTTTTTTGACAGGCAGAGTGGACAGTGAGAGAGAGAGACAGAAAGAAAGGTCTTCCTTTGCCTTTAGTTCACCCTCCAATGGCCGCCATGGCTGGCGCGCTGCGGCCGGCGCACCACGCTGATCCGATGGCAGGAGCCAGGAGCCAGGTGCTTTTCCTGGTCTCCCATGGGGTGCAGGGCCCAAGCACCTGGGCCATCCTCCACTGCACTCCCTGGCCACAGCAGAGAGCTGGCCTGGAAGAGGGGCAACCGGGACAGAATCCGGCTCCCCGACCGGGACTAGAACCTGGTGTGCCGGCGCCGCAAGGCAGAGGATTAGCCTAGTGAGCTGCGGCGCCGGCCCATCCTTATTTTTTTTACTGCAGTATTTAATGAGTCTGTATTATATATCAGAAATGGGCTCTCTACAATACACTGAGAAAGGTAGCATGGTTTCCCCATTTTACAAATAAGTAAATTTGTCTTGGATAAATGATTTGATTGACCTGAGGTTACCTAGAAAATAAACCCTCTCTTAATTCAGACTAAGAGTTGCCTGACCTAAGAGTCCATATCCTTTCCACTGTGTGTCTCTTCTTGTGACTAGTGGAAACCCTGGATAATTGAGTCGTGTGTGATCCCTTTGAAGACAATGCTACAAGGTGTGGGGGGCCTTTTCCTACCCTGAGAAGTCATTATTGCTTGCCTGGCTGTAACAGGGAGGGACCTTGAGCTTCCTCCTGGGTCTAGGTAGGGTTGGCTTGTGTATTCAAGAAAATTGCCATATTCCCTACTAGTTCTCATCACATATAGCATAGTGGCTCCTGATAGTGGGGACTTACCATTATCATAGTTGAAAGGTTCTGGTTCATTCAAGGAACCATCTCCCCTCTCTTAATCCAGCTGGGGTCAACCATCCAGATTCTCCACTGCTCTTCATTGGATCTGGGGCATAATGCTCCTCCCTCACAGGCATGAGCAGTCCCATTCCATCCACCATGGCCACCTCTACACGTATACCAATTCAAAGGTACTTTTGAGGGCCTACCTCTTCATCCCTTCTGCTCCAGAAAAAAATTATTTCAGAAGCAAATTCCTTAGTCATCATTCCTTTCATTAACTACTGTGGATAGGAGTAAAACCATATTCAGAATAACCAACCCAGGTACAAAAGGCTGTAGCTAACTCTACCTCTGATTGATCTTTCCTTAAATTCCCTTTCCTGACAAGAACAACTAGCCTTGCCCTCCTTGTTCTCTTCTGATGTTGCTGGGGTTATTAGTTTTTACTTCTTCATCCAACTAATCTGAATTCAAGATGTTATAGCTGGCTGAGGTCAACTGTTCTCTTTCTTTGAGGCCAAAACCTCTTGGAATCTCTTTCTTCCTTTAGTCTGAGAAAATATAACATGTTGGTTCCCTAGTATATGGAAAAGTAAACAGCTTTGAGTAGTAGCTGAAGTTGCTCATTAAGTCTTGATGTTGCCGTTGATATGAGAGGAAGGGGTCCTGTTGGTCTCCAGGCCCCTGTGGCCAGCACCTCTGTCAGCCATACTAACATACTCTTCTTTCTCCAGGTTGGTGTATAAATGGTTCCTGCTAATCTATAAAATCAGCTATGCTACTGGCATCGTTGGCTACATGGCTGTCATGTTTACCCTCTTTGGTCTTAATTTATTATTCAAGTAAGTTCCCTTTACTTTTGTTTTTTCTGGTGTTTGGGAGAGGAGTGTCTGGGGAGATGGATATTGCTTACTGTGTTAAGTTTGGGATGTTCATAAGGGGAACATGGTACCCAGGATGGGAGGCTCTGGGGGAGATTGGAGAGAATGGACTGTCCATGGTTTGTTCTGGCAGAAATTAAAGGTTGTGTAGAGTCACAGTCCCAAATCATTGGTTAATATTTTTGAAGAGTTTATATTTTAGTGGAAAATTAGAATGCAGGTAAGTATTATAATGATTATAACCAATTACCCATATTGCTATCACTCCAACAGAGCCCATTTTTCTTTTCCAAATATATTATTTATTATAATACCTACTCTTCCCGAGTGGTCTTATATTCAAGTAGGCCAGGGATTGGCAAACTACCTGCTTTGGGCCAAATCAGCCCACAGCTTGTTTTTACAAAATGAAATTTTACTGGAACACAGCCATGCTCATTTATTTACATATTGTCTGTGGCTACTTTTTTTTTTTTTTTTAAGATTTATTTGTTTGTTTGAGAGGCAGAGTTGGAGATTGAGGGAAAGAGAGAGAGAGGTCTTCTGTCCACTGGTTTATTCCCCAGATGGCCACAGTGGCCAGAGCTGGAGCTATCTGAAGCAAGGAGCCAATAGCTTCTTTCAGGTCTCTCATGTGGGTGCAGGGGCCCAAGCACTTATTCTGCTTTCCCAGGCCATTAATAGGAAACTGGATCAGAAGTGGAGCAGCCAGGACTTGAACCAGAGCCCATATGGGATGCCGGTGTCACAGGTGGATGCTTAACCTACCGTGTCACAGTGCTGTCCCTGAATGTTTTTGTACTGAAATAGCAGAGTTGAATAGTTGTGACAGACACCACATGGGCCACAAAACCTGAAGTGTTTACTACGTGGCCCTTTACAAGAAAGGGTTCACTGACCTTTGGGCCAGACACTTGAATTCCACAATCATGGTTGGCCACATTTGGCAACAGGGCCACTTTGAAGGATGCAAGACAGGTAACATAGCAGGACAGTGACTGTAGGAGTCCCAGAATTGATATATGAGAGAGTGAGACCACTCACTCACAGACAGATGTGGAAGCCATCCTGGCCTGGGAGCCCTATCCCCCAAGGACATAGCCAGCTTTAAGAATGTCCCAGTCCAGATGCAGAGTGCCAACTACAGATCATTTTTAATATATAAGCATTTTGCCTGTTCTACCTTTGTCAGGTTTCTGAGGAAATAATTTTAGAGAATTGACCTATGGACATGAAGTCTTACTCCTTTGTCAGGCACATGGGTTATTTTCAGCTTAGTGCTATCACAGATAATCTGGCTGGGTTGTTTTCTGAGGGCACATTCCTAGGAGTGGGCTGGTGGTTGTTGCTTCTTGTCATGAGCTTTCCCGAAGATCTGTACCAGCATACAGGTCCTCACCCAACCCTAGTTGAAACAGAGACCAGGAAGCCTGAGCTTGGAGAGGGTGTTTGGAGGGTGTGGTCAATCTGTAAGCCAGAAGAGGGTGGGAGTGAGAATTCCTGAATGAGGGCAGTAACGGTTGCAGGCTGCAGATCATGAGGGGGCCTAGGTCTGGGACAGTGCAGGGAAGCTGAAGAGTTTTAGGATTCAAACTTAAGTTCATGGATAGGAAAACCACTAACTTCTTCCCCCAGCCCTGTGTATAGTAGGCAGGAGTGTCTTTGAAATGAAGTTTATTTAGGACAAGTAAAAATTAAAAATGAGTCTTGTATGAGGGAACAGCCAAATGGAACTCTTTCTTCCACAGGTTACAGGCTGAATGAATAAAGAGGATCTGGAAAGATTTAAAGGAATTCATCACTAGAGTGTCTAACACATTTCATCAGAACAAAGATATTTCTAAGCATCTTCCTAACCTGTGTGGTTAAAAAAAAAATACAAGTAAAGATTCAATATTATGTCTTAAAGATATTTCTTATGTAATTACAGATTCTTTTTGGTTGCCTAAACTATACAAAAAGGAAAAATTGAGACTCTGAATCATTTTTATGCTACTGATCAGGTTAATTGGTGTAAGATAAGTGTTGTTATGGTAGTGGGTTAGTTTTTTTTTTTTAATTTAAGATTTATTTTATTTATTTGAAAGGCAGAGTTAGAGGGAGAGAGAGAGATTTTCCATCCAGTGGTTCACTCCCCAAATGGCCACAATGACCAGGTTTGGGCCAGTCCAAAGCCAAGAGCTAGGAACTTCTTCCAGGTCTCCCAAGTGGGTGGCAGGGGCCCAAGTACTTGGGCCATCCTCCACTGCTTTCCCAGGCGCATTAGCAGGGAGCTCAGTTGGAAGCAATACAGCCAGGACTTGAACCAGCGCCCATAAGGGATGCCTGCATTACAGTGGTGGCTTAACCTATTACATCACAATGCTCACCCCAGTGGCATTGATATTACAAAGTTAATAATCAAATTCAACTTTCTATGATAAATATAAATTATAGTTTTAAGTAAACTTAAATATTTGTGCAAATATTTTAACAAAGGTAATTTCCTATAAAAAACGTGGATCCAGGGTTACAACTGATTGGTCCTTAGAATTATTAGAACAAACCTCCTACTACTGTAGACAATCTTTATTCATCATAATAAATTGACTTGAATTTAAGTTTAGCTTTGATAACATTATACAGAATATCTATGGATGCAACTAAAATTTTTATGACTGGTATGTAAATATTTTCTCTCTAATTTTAAACTTTTATTCTAAACTTGTGTTGGGAAAACTGTGGGACAATACGCAGAATCTAGAATATTCTGTAGGGACTTACTGCCTGGAGTGGATACAGCTCAGTGAGGGACATACTCTGTGCCCATTTGCCAGTTGCTGAGACATTCCCAGAATGAGGGGCCTGGCAGGGAGTGTGAGGCCACTGAGGTCATTTCCCTGTCTACTGCAGTGCCACTCAGGTCCTGACATGTTCTTCCCTTGCTGTGGGGGTTAAGCTGTGTCAGCCTGGGCAGCTTGCTGAGGTGAGGTAACTCAGTGAATTGCCAGGTTCTGGACTGAAATTCCACTCCTTGATGTCCAGCAGCTTCCAATGGTAGAGTCCTTAACTTGTAGATCTCAACGAGGGTAAGCCCTGAGCAGCTGCAAGGCCTGGCCACCAGTTAGGGGAGGCAGGAACTCGGAACAGTGTGGGACAGGGGGCCAGAGAGGATTCTCTGGCTTGGACTTTGCAGCTCACAGTGCTGGCTTCCTCAGCATGGGTCATGGGTCATTTGAAAGCAGGCGGCAGCCTGGATTAGCTCAGTTTGTCAGCACTTGCTCTAGCCCTGCGCCTTCCAGCTTTAGGCCCTGCCTTGTGTGTCACAGAGTAGTGATCCAAAGCAGTCGTGTCTAGGGCAGGCCTCACTAGCCATGCTGCTTCCCTTCCAGGATCAAACCTGAAGATGCCATGGACTTTGGCATTTCTCTCCTCTTCTATGGCCTGTACTATGGAGTTCTTGAGCGGGACTTTGCTGAAATGTGTGCAGACTACATGGCATCTACCATAGGGGTGAGTTCACCTAGTCTCTTTTTTTGTCATTTTATTTGGAAGGCAGAGAGACAGAAAACAGTCTTCCATCTATTGATTCATTCCCCAAAGGCTCACCCATAGCCAGGGTCAGGCCACACCAAAGCCAAGAGACCAGAATTCAACATGGGTCTTCCACATGGGTGACAGGGACCTTCTTCAGCCATCATCTGCTGCCTCCCAGGGGGTACATCAGCAGGAAGCTAGATGCAAAGCAGAATAGCTGGGATTTCACCCAGGCACTCCATTATGGGATGTGAGCATCTCAAGCAGGATTTTACTGCTGTGCCATGTGCCTGCCCCTACCTGGGTTCTTAATACTGCTTCCTGCTACTTCTACATTGTTTGGCTAGCAATACTTGCTTGATGGAAGAGAAAGGCACTAAAGGATGAGGTAAGCCAATTAAATCCTTCAGGATGTAGGTGGTACACATGGAGATTTCTTCCTTAAACTTTGGAAAGCCAGATATCACGTGACCCTTTAATTTATTACTTATTTATTTGAGAGACAGAGAGACATCGAGAAGTAAAGCTCCCATCTGTTGGTGCACTCACCAAATGTCTGCAATGGCCAAGGCTGGGCCAGGGCCAAAGCTGGGAGCAGGGAATGCAATCCAGGTCTCCTGCCATCATCACTCTGCCTCCTGTGGTCTGCATTAGCAGGAAGGTGGAATCAGGAGGCAGACCTGGGGATTGAATCAGGTACTCCAGTGTGGGGTGTTTGTTTGTTTGTTTTAGCATTTTTTTTTTTAAGATTTGTTTAATTTTTTGAAAAACAGAGTTAAGAGAGAGAGAATCTTCCATCCACTGGTTCACTCCGAAAATTTCTCAACAGCTGGAGCTGGGCCAACCTGAAGCCAGGAGCCTGGAGCTTCTGAGTCTCCCACGTGGTTGCAGGGGTCCAATGACTTTGGCCATCATCTGCTACTTTCCCAGGCACATTAGCAGGGATAGCTGGATTGGAAGTGCAAGCATCTTAAGTACTAGGCTAAATGTCCACTTCTACCCTGGAATTTTGTTAAGTTTTCAAACAATTATATGAAGAAAACCACTTTATCCAGTAGGAAGTTAACACTCATTTAACAAATCCCTTTTCTCAATGCTTTTTAATGTATCTAGGTATGCTATATCCTGGAATTACAAAGATATACAAAAATAAGCATGGTACTTTGTCAAATAAAATTTAGTTTCTGATGGAAAGAATGTCTTTTGTATTTTGATTGGTATCGCATTGAATCTGTAAATTGCTTTTGGAAGAATGGACATTCTGGTGATATTGATTCTTCCAATCCATGAACATGAAAGATTTTTCCTTTTTTTTTTTTTTTTTTTTTTTTTTTTTGGTATCTTCTTCTATTTCTTTCTTTAATGCTTTTTAATTTTCATCGTCATAGAGATCTTCGACTTCCTTGGTTAAGTGTATTCCAAGACTTAAGTTTTTTGATAGCTAGTGTGAATGGGATTGAACTTAGAAGTTCTTTCTCAGGGCCGGCACTGTGGTGTAGCAGGTAAAGCCGCTGCCTGCTGTGCTGGCATCCCATATGGGTGCTGGTTTGAGTCCCAGCTGCTTCTCTTCCAATCCAGCTCTCTGCTATATCCTGGGAAAGCAGTACAAGATGGCCCAAGTCCTGGCTTCAGTGACTCCTGGCTTCAGATCAGCTCAGCTCCAGCCATTGCAGCATTTGGGGAGTGAAACAGTGGACGGAAGACCTCTCTCTCAAATTAAAACTTTAAAATAGGGGCTGGTGCCATGGCTCACTTGGCTAATCCTCCGCCTGCTGGCACCAGCATCACATATAGGCACCGGGTTCTAGTCCTGGTTGCCCCTCTTCCAGTCCAGCTCTCTGCTGTTGCCCGGGAGGGCAGTGGAGGATGGCCCAGGTGCTTGGGCCCCTGCACCCGTGTGGGAGACCAGGAAGAGGCATCTGGCTCCTGGCTTCGGATTGCAGTGCCAGCTGTAGCAGCCATTTGGGGAGTGAACCAATGGAAGGAAGACCTTTCTCTCTGTCTCTCACTGTTTGTAACTCTACCTGTCAAAATAAATAAATAAAAATCTTTTAAAAAAATCTTTAAAATAAATAAATAAATCTTTTAAAAAAAAAAAGTTCTTTCTCAGCCATGGCATTGTGTGTATATACAAATGCTATTGATTTTTGTGTGTTAATTTTATATCCTGCTACTTTACCAAACTCTTATGTGTTCCAGTAGTCTCTTAGTGGATTCTTTTGGTTCCTCTATATGTAGAAGAATCATGTCATCTGCAAATAAGGGTAGTTTGACTTTGTCCTTTCCAATTTGGATCCCTTTGGTTTCTTTTTCTTGCCTAATGGCTCTAGCTAAAACTTCTAGGACTGTATTGAATAGCAGTGGTGAGAGTGGGCATCCTTGTCTGGTTCCAGATTTTAGTAGGAATGCTTCCAACTTTTCCCCATTCAATAAGATGCTGGCTGTGGACTTGTCATAAATTCTCCTGATTGTGTTGAGGAATGTTCCTTCTATACCCAATTTGCTTAAGGTATTTTCTTTTTTTTTTAAGATTTATTTATTTATTTGAAAGAGTTACACAGAGAGAGAAGGAGAGGCAGAGAGAGAAAGAGGCCTTCCATCCACTGGTTCACTCCTGAGATGGGTGCAACGGCCGGAGCTGCGCCAATCCAAAGCCAGGAGCCAAGAGCTTCCTCCAGGTCTCCCACAGGAGTACAGGAGCCCGAGGACTTGGGCCATCTTCCACTGCTTTCCCAGGCCATAGTAGAGAGCTGGGTCAGAAGTGGAGCAGCCAGATCTCAAAACAGCGCCCACTTGGGATGCCGGCACTGCAGGCCCCTTCATAAGGTTTTCATCATGAAAGAATGTTGTGGTTTATCATATGTTTTCTCTGCATCTGTTGAGATGATCATATGGTTTTGTTGTAAAGTTTGTTTATGTGGTGAAATTTTTTTTTATTTAGCATTTTGTGATGTTATTATTGGGGCAAGGACACAGGGTGGGAAAGGGTACCCCTCGCAGGTGCAGGGAATGTCCGTGCTGGTCAGTCTTCCTGGGATGCTTTATGGAGCTTTTTTTTCCTTGGCCCTGCTCTTGCTGGGGGCGGCCTCCTCAGGGCTGCTGCTCCCTTCCTCCTTGGCGGAGAATTTCCTCTGTTTCTTGGGGACCTTCCTGGTGCCCGCCTCCTCCACAGCATTCGCCATTTCCTCCTGGGCAGAGGGTTTCTTCCTCTTGGGAGGGCTCACGCCGCCCCTGTGTCCTCCAGATCACTAACAGCTCCTCCTTGGAAAGAGCTTTCTTTTTCTTGGGGTTGGAGGAAGAGGCAGGCGGCTCCTCTATCCCGTTCTCCTGAGGAGCCTCCTGGGGCTTTGGCTTTTTCTTCTTTTTGGGTTTCTCCTGCGCCTCCTCACACTCCTCCGAGGTGCTGCTGCTGTTCCCCGAAGACGCCAGGGCGAGCGCCGCCAGGCATTTCTTTCCCTTCTTCAAGCGTTTCCTCTCCTGCTTCTCAGCTTCCTGGTGATCTCTGCAGCCGCCGCCTCTGCCTGGCCACAGAGAGGTGCTGAGTGGGCCTGAAGACCCCGCCGCTCCAGGGCCTCCCAGCTGGCTTTGCTGGATCAGGCTCATTAAATCAGTTTTGTCGCCTCCACTCTACAAGGTCAGGCCGAGGCTGCCCATCACCTCCAAGGTGAATTACAATTAATTGATTTGTGAATGTTGAACCATCCCTGCATACCAGGGATATATCCCACTTGGTCCAGGTGCATTTTTCTTTAAATTTTTTAAATTTTTATTTTATTTTAAAGATTTATTTCATTTATTTGAAAGAGTTACAGAGAGAGGTAGAGATAGAGAGGTATTCCATCATCTGGTTCACTCCCCAGATAGCCACATCGGCCGGAGCTGTGCTGATCCAAAGCCAGGAGCCAGGAGCTTCTTCCGGGTCTCCCACATGAGTGCAGGGGCCCAAGGACTTGGGCCATCTTCTACTGCTTTCCCAGGCCATAGCAGAGAGCTGGATCGGAGAGGAGCAGCCGGGACTAGAACCGGCCCCTGCATTTTTTTTTTTTTTAATCAATTTACTTATCTGAAAGGCAGAGAGAGATCTTCCATCTGCTGGTTCACTCCCCAAATGAGTGCAACAGTGAAGGCAGGACAGACCAATGCCAGGAGCCAGGAGCTTCTTCCCAGTCTCCCATGTGGGTTCAGGGCCCAAGTACTTGGGCCATTTTCTACTGCTTTCCCAGGCACATTAGCATGGAGCTGAATTGGAAGTGGAGCAGCTGGGACTTGAACTGGCACACATGGGATGCCAACACTATAGACAGAGGCTTAACCTTCTATGCCACAGCACCGGTCCCTCTTTAGAATTATTTAAGTGACATATAAATGCTCTCCATCTCAGTATTATCTCCTCAGACCCCCCTCTATCCCAAATAACTCTACCACAAGAAGGAATATTTTCATCAGCCTGAGTAAATTGAGTCAAGCACAGTTTCTCTGTATCATGGGACTGTGTTATTTTTCCTGTGTAGTACTGGATCGCATGGAAAACGAAAGTGTATTAGATCACTTTGTAAACATCTTTTTAGATTGTTTTTTCAAACAATTGACTTGTTTCAGTTTCATTTCACACTCTCTTCTCTGTGTAGACTGCTTTAACCAGTTCACTCCTAGAAGAAATTTCCAGACTGTAAAGGGTTTATATAGTTCACACTTGGCAACAGCTGTTCCCTGTCAACTTCTCAGAGCAAGGTAGCATTCTGTCCTTTCCTCTGGAGTGATTTCTCTGTCTTCATTGTGGGTTGTTGTTTTTTGTTTTGTTTTGTTTTTTTGTTTTGGTTTTTTTTTTTTTTTTTTTTGACAGGCAGAGTGGACAGTGAGAGAGAGAGACAGAGAGAAAGGTCTTCCTTTGCCGTTGGTTCACCCTCCAATGGCCGCCGTGGCCGGCGCACTGCGGCTGGTGCACCGCGCTGATCTGAAGGCAGGAGCCAGGTACT